TGTTTTTGGTTCTGTTTATGTGGTGAATTATGTTTATAGACTTGCATATGTTGAACCAGCCTTGCATCCCTGGGATGAATCCTACTTGATCATGATGGATAAGTTTTTTGATGTGCTGTTGCAGTCGGTTTGCCAGTATTTTATTGAAGATTTTTGCATCTATGTTCATCATGGATATTGGCCTGAAGTTTTCTTTTCTTGTTGGGTCTCTGCCGGGTTTTGGTATCAGGATGATGTTGGTCTCATAAAATCATTTGGGAAGGATTCCCTCTTTTTGGATTATTTGGAATAGTTTCAGAAGGAATGGTACCAGCTCCTCTTTGTGTGTCTGATAGAATTCGGCTGTGAACCCATCTGGACCTGGGCTTTTCTTGTGTGGTAGGCTCTTAATTGCTGCCTCTACTTCTGACCTTGTTGTTGGTCTGTTCATAGTTTCGGCTTCCTCCTGGTTTAGACTTGGGAGGACACAGATGTCCAGGAATTTATCCATTTCTTCTAGGTTTACTAGTTTATGTGCATAGAGTTGTTTGTAGTATTCTCTGATGATGGATTGTATTTCTGTGGAAACTGTGATGATTTCCCCTTTATCGTTTTTTATTGCATCTATTTGGTTGTTCTCTCTTTTCTTTTTTATCAGTCTGGCTAGTGGTCTATTTTGTTGATCTTTTCAAAAAACCAGCTCTTGGATTTATTGATTTTTTTGAAGGTTTTTTTGTGTCTTTGTTGCCTTCAGTTCTGCTCTGATCTTAGTTATTTCTTGTCTTCTGCTAGGTTTTGAGTTTTTTTTAATCTTGCTCCTCTAGCTCTTTCAATTTTGATGATAGGGTGTCAATTTTGGATCTCTCCACTCTTCTCATGTGGGCACTTATTGCCATATATTTTCCTCTAGAGACTGCTTTAAATGTGTCCTAGAGATTCTGGTATGTTTTGTCTTCATTTTCGTTGGTTTCAAAGAACTTCTTTATTTCTGCCTTCATTTCGTTGTTTATCCAATCAACATTCAAGAGCCAGTTGTTCAGTTTCCATGAAGCTGTGCGGTTCTGGGTTGGTTTCTGAATTCTGAGTTCTAACTTCATTGCACTATGGTCTGAGAGACTACTTGTTATGATTTCAGTTGTTTTGCATTTGCTGAGGATTGGGTTGCTTCCTAATATGTGGTCAATTTTAGAGTAGGTGTGATGTGGTGCTGAGAAGAATGTATATTCTGTGGATTTGGGGTGGAGAGTTCTGTAAATGTCTATCAGGTTTGCTTGTTCCAGGTCTGAGTTCAAGCCCTGAATATCCTTGTTAATTTTCTGTCTGGTTGATCTGTCTAATATTGACAGTGGAGTGTTAACGTCTCCCATTATTGTGTGGGAGTCTAAGTCTCTTTGTAAGTTGTTAAGAACTTGCCTTACATATGTGGGTGCTCCTGTATTGGGTCCATATATATTTAGGATCGTTAGCTCTTCTTGTTGTATCGATCCTTTTACCATTATGTAATGACCTTCTTTGTCTCTTTTGATCTTTGTTGCTTTAAAGTCTATTTTATCAGAGATGAAAATTGCAACTCCTGCTGTTTTTTGCTCTCCATTTGCTTGGTAAATCTTCCTCCATCCCTTTATTTTGAGCCTTTGTGTATCCTTGCATGTGAGATGGGTTTCCTGGATACAGCACACTGATGGGTTTTGGATTTTTATCCAATTTGCCAGTTTGTGTCTTTTGATTGGTGCATTTAGCCTGTTTACATTTAGGGTTAATATTGTTATGTGTGAATTTGATACTGTCATTTTGATGCTAGCTGGCTGTTTTGCCCGTTAGTTGATACAGATTCTTCTTTTTGTTGATGCTCTTTAGCATTTGGTATGTTTTTAGAATGGCTGGTACTGGTTGTTCCTTTCTATGTATAGTGCCTCTTTCAGGAGCTCTTGTAAAGCAGGCCTGGTGGTGACAAAATCTCTGAGTACTTGCTTGTTCGCAAAGGATTTTACTTTTCCTTCACTTATGAAGCTCAGTTTGGCTGGATATGAGATTCTGGGTTGAAAGTTCTTTTCTTTAAGGATGTTGAATATTGGCCCCCATTCTCTTCTGGCTTGTAGGGTTTCTGCTGAGAGATCTGCTGTGAGTCTGATGGGTTTCCCTTTGTAGATGACTCGACCTTTCTCTCTGGCTGCTCTTAGTATTTTCTCCTTTATTTCAACCCCGGTGAATCTGACAATTATGTGCCTTGGGGTTGATTTTCTTGTGGAATGTCTTTGTGGTGTTCTCTGTATTTCCTGGACATGAATATTGGCCTCCCTTGCTAGGTTGGGGAAATTTTCCTGGATAATATCCTGAAGAGTATTTTCCAGCTTGGATTCATTCTCTTTGTCACATTCTGGTACACCTATCAAATGCAGGTTAGGTCTCTTCATGTAGTCCCACATTTCCTGGAGACTTTGTTCATTCCTTTTTGCACTTTTTTCTCTAATCTTGGTTTCTTGTTTACTTTCATTGAGTTGATCTTCAACTTCTGATATTCTTTCTTCTGCTTGGTCAATTCGGCTGTTGAAACTTGTGCATGCTTCACGAAGCTCTCGTGTTGTGTTTTTCAGCTCCTTCAATTCATTCATATTCCTCTCTAAGTTGTCCATTCTTGTTATCATTTCTTCGAATATTTTTTCAAATCTTTTTCAAAGTTCTTAGTTTCTTTGCATTGATTTAGAACATGTTCTTTTAGCTCAAAGAAATTTCTCATTATCCACCTTCTGAAGTCTTGATTCTGTCATTTCGTCACACTCATTCTCCGTCCAGCTTTGTTCCCTTGCTGGTGAGGAGTTTTGGTCCTTTGTAGGAGGCAAGGTGTTTTGGTTTCAGGTGTTTTCCTTCTTTTTGCGCTGGTTTCTTCCCATCTTTGTGGATTTATCCACCTGTCGTCTGAGTAGTTGCTGGCTTTTCGATTGGGTCCCTGAGTGTTCGCCCAGATTGTTGATGCTGAAGTATTTCTATTACTTAGTTTTCCTTTTAACAGTCTAGCCCCTCTGCTGTATGACTGCTGAGGTCCACTCCAGTCCCTGCTGCTGTGGGCTCTGCCCTGCTGCTGTGGGCTCCGCCCTTCTATCCTGGGCTCCACCCTGTTGGCTCTGCTCTGCTGTTCTGGGCTCCGCCCTGTTGGTGGAGTCTCTCTGTTGCCTTGGCAACAGCAGGCTGTGTCAGCAATAGGTGTGTACCTCAGTAGGGGCGGAATGCCTCGGTAGTGGCGGATGCCCCTCCCCCATGGAGCTGCACCATCCTGTATTCAGCTGTGCCCACAGCGAAACTCTCAACCCCGAGTGTTTTGAATCGCCGTTTTGTTTGTCCCTGTGGGGGTGGGACCTGCCGAGCCTGATCACCTGGCTCCCTGCCTCAGAGCCCTTTCTCCCTCTTTTTTTTTTTTTAAGTTGAACGGATGACTCTCTCCCAGGTGTTTTAGTCGCCTGCTGGTAGGGCACCGGGATCTGTGTGATTTCCCGTGCAGGGGCCCACTGCACCAGCTCAAATGTCGCTTCCCAGGAATCTCCTTGTCTGGCTCACTGTCCAAGTCCCGTTTAATCAGATGGATATAATCTGCCCTCTCAAATCTCAGATTGCTGGTTTAACAGGGCACCCATATCAGCACGTTTTGTGCGGGGTGCAGCTGCGCTGCAGCGCTGGCTGAAACCACCAGCACAAGCCGAGAGGGCTGCGATGGCTTCCTATGACTCTCCTACACCTGGGAACTTCCCCGTTCTGTGGGCAACAAAGATCCATCTGGAAATGCGGCTAGGACTCACCCTCTGTGCCTTCAATGAGAGCTGCAATCCCGAGTTGTTCCTACCATGCCATCTTGGAAAACTCCTCCGAGAATTTTTTTTTAATTCATAAAATGGATCCCAAAGTCATGAATAATTAATTAATTTTCTGAATTACTGTGACTAATTAAAATTTGACTTCATTGTATAATTGCTTGATAATTCATTTACTACATAATGTTAAAAATTGAGATCCTATGACTCATGTGTTACAATTTTCTTTTCTAACTGATTCTGAAAGGCTTTTTATGATTTTCCAGGTAGCAAATTTAATTTGCTTTTTGAGACTTAGATTTTCCTTTAGCAAAATGAAACAATTACTGAATAATAACTTTTTTACTTTGACTAATTTGAATTTGCATTTTGTTAGTCCCTCAAATTGTAGTGTAGCATTTTCTTAGATGGTGTTAAGTGGATGGTAATGGAAAGAACAGGCTTGACTTTAGACACACTTCAGTCACAACTTCTCACCAGCCCTGTAATCTTGGGCAAGTGTCATGACTCCTGAGAGCCTCAGATTATCATCTGTAAAATTGGTACAATAATGCCTATCTTGTAACATTATGATGAAGAATTTCTGGGTAAAATTATTAGCACAGTGTTTGGCCTACTATAGACACCTAGTAAATGGTAGTTATTTTATTACTAATAACCTTTGTAGACTTCAGCCATCCCTCCAAAATTAAGCGTATTCTAGATAAGGAGAAGAGATTGCACGTTTTGTATGAGTAAAAGATCCCCCTCAATTAGGCAAAGATTGATATATGTTGGATATAGGTTCACACTCCCTCATATGCAATTCTGAAAATCAAAATTTTTTTCTAAAGACCTAAAGTTTTTTATAACTTATTTGGCAGCAAAATACGACCTAAACTCATTTCTCAGTTAACTCCTGATGTGAACTAACATGAGGTCTTTATTTCACTTTGTATAAATTTTCCTATGTTTCAATATAAAATTAATTAATCTTGATTGTGGGATTAAAAAAAATTAATCTCCCTTCTGGGATGCTATGTATATATAGTTATATGTCCTACATTATAATCCTAAAAATCTAAAAAAACTCAAAATTTTGAAACACAGCTGGCCCCAAGGGTTTCTGGTAAGATACTGTGAACCTGTACTTGCTTTCTTGGTCTGCTACACTCAGGGTTTGTAAAAGGATAAAGATGAATGTAATGAAACAGTCTCACAAGTTTTTCAATTGTTTAGAATCCCAACAGAAGGCCAAAGAAGTTTGCCATGTGTACTTTATGAAGCTCCGCTCTGGCCTTACAATAAAAAAGGAGGCCTCTTACTTTAGGAGAGAAACCACCAAAAGACCTTCACTAAAAACAGGTAAGAGGAACTGTAATTCTCTGGCAATAATGATAGGTGTCTATTTGCCTTCACTTACCACATTTAAATATGCAATTATTTTTCCTCACTTCAAGGTTCTTTTTGGAAAATAGGATGATGAACTGCTTTTTAGCTATTTTTTAAAAGAGCATATAAAGAATTTTCAATAGCATGAGAGAAATGGTTATGTTATAATGTTAAGTGAAAACAGAAGATACAAAATTATGTGCAAATATGTTCACAATATTTTAAGGTTTTTTTTTTAAATTTAAAGGAAGTAGGTTTAAGTGTTAATAGTGTTTGCCTTTTGGGTGTTGAGACTCTGGGTGACTAGTTTTCTTCCTCCTGATCTCTGACAAGTGTGCCCTACTGAGGTATAAGGGTACCAGGAGGTACTGATCCATTTGGACCATGAGATGGCCAAAGCCCTGCAGTCAATCACTACTCTCAGCAAGCAGCCTTAACTGGGAATCTTCAAAGGGATGTTTGTGCAAAGTGGGGACTGATAGTCCACCCCTAACCCCATCTGTTCTGCAGGTAGAAAGCACAAAGAACATCTGGTATTCACTGCCTGTCAACAGCAATCTACCATGAAGTGCTTTACCTTTGATATATCAGCAGTCCAGAAATATACTAAAGCACTTCATGCTGCAAGTATCCCAGGTATGACTGGTTACAGAGGTGATGTGGGAGTGAGGAGGGAGATATGACACAGGACCCTGGAAAGTGCTACTCCAGGTAGCAGTCCCAAATCTATGTCTTTAGCATGTTCCAGAAACTTTTGTCCATTTGCAACTGATGTGTCCATCTAACAAGGCAAGGCAGCTGATCTAATAATGTACAGGCATTCTCTAGTTAGCACTCCATCATTATTGTGAAATGGTTGCTATGGATTGGAATCTCATAGACATTAGTTTTGGTAAAAATATATTATTCTTTGGGAACAAAACACATTTCCCCCGCCCCCCAAATTTCAACAGTTTGACCATGAAAGAAAGGAACTATTATATTTTTAAATATAATTCTAATGCTTTATACATTTTAGGTAGTAGTTCAGATGGTTTTAAATTTTATCACTTTCTTATACAAGGTCCCAAGTTGATGTGACTATTAAGAAGTGAAGAGATCATCATTTAAAAAAAAAACTTGGCCAGGTGTGGTGGCTCATGCCTGTAATCCCAGCACTTTGGGAGGCTGAGGCAGGCAGATCACCTGAGGTCAGGAGTCTGACACCAGCCTGGCCAACATAGCAAAACCTTGTATCTACTAAAAATACAAAAATTAGCCAGTCATGGTGGTGTGCACCTGTAATCCCAGCTACTTGTGAGTCTGAGGACGAGAATGACTTGAACCCTGGAAAACATTGCCATGAGTGGAGATTATGCCTGGGCACCCTAGCCTGGGCAACAAGAGTGAGACTCCATCTCAGAAACAAACAGCAAAAAAAAAACTTTACCTGGAACTTACAGTTGCCATTTTAAGCATTATTCCTGCTATAAATGTCCTAAATTCCCAGAAGCAACACTTAAGTTTCTCATTAAGTATTTCTAAATCATTTACTTTAGAAGTTCATGTACAAATTCAGTATGTAACATTCCTCTTAATATTTTGTATCATATTTTTTTCCAGGCCCCATGTAGGTAGTCCCTAAATCTGCTCCAGTTTACTTCAGCAGGGTACAAAAATATTATCATTTTCTATATATATTTTGACACTTCTTAAAAGTTGGGAGCACTGCACTGTGTCCCTGTTATTTAGCCAGAGGAGAGAACAGCCTCATACCTGCATTCTCCAAGACTGTCAGAAACTTCTGGGTAACTCCATACTTAATAGATGAACATCTATTTATCCATGTCTATCAAAATACAGTCTATCTTTACCACAGTCCTCAGAACACGGGGTGTCATAAAGTGAAAATTTCCTCAGGCAATGTCTGTTACTTTCCATCATCTTTTTCCCACCAAACCCTCCCATAAGCACACTCATACGGCCTCCCAGGGCCTTTGTGCAGGAAACTAGTACCTTTAATCCCTTTCAAGGGGCACATCTCAGATTTTGAGCTATGTAAAGCTTCTGCAAAAGGCTTTCATCTACCCAACAGTGACATACAAAATACAACTCAAATTGCAAAGATGTTTTTTGAGCATTTTTTAAAAAGGTTGCCAAAATAATTGTGCCTGACAAGTTTTTGAATTCTTAACAACAGGTATTTCACCTATTACAGAATCTCTTACTTCCCTAAGCACATACAATGATCAATCCATTATTTTTGCTTTGGAGGATGAGAGTTATGAGATATATGTTGAAGACTTGAAAAAAGATGAAGAAAAAGGTAGAATAGTTTGTTTTTCTATAATGATATAATAATGACTAATAAAAGTGAAATATTTTAATAAAACTAAATCTACCAAACTTTAAACAATGGATTAAGTTAGATATGGCAAACTAACTTTTGTTAACTGTGTGCTAACTCTAATGCACTGGCAGTGGTTGCCTGAATCCACTTCTATGTTAAGAAGGATTCAGAAGCTTCGTCAGGTTCATCAGAGAAGAACGCTGACATTGAAATATGGTATCTATTGTGAAAGACAGAAAGAGGGACGACAGTATTCACTATCACTAAATTATCCACTAGATCTTTCTAGTTTTAATAATATCACCAAAGTACAACCTTTATGCCAATACTATGAAAAATATTTTAATAACAACTATACTGGAGAATTCATCAGAGCATATTCATGCATTTTTGAGATCTTTCTCAAAACCACATAAGTTTTGCTTTTATTGACATATAATAAAAGGGGAGGATTTTTCTTATGTTATATATGTGTTAGAACCAAAAACTTAATAAAATTGTATCTCACCAGAGGGATTTTATGCCTTCTCTTTCAGACAAAGTGTTACTGAGTTACTATGAGTCTCAATGCTCCTCAAATGAATCAGGTAATTTGGAGGGCTGGGTAGCTATAGTGCTTGAAATATTAAGTATGGGGTAAAGATAAATCCAAAATGCCCCATGGGAAAAGAAGATAGTCACAGAAGGTTATCTCCAACACAAGCTCATGATAAAACTTAGATTCTCAGAGGATGTATTCCCATCCATTTTATAGCTTAATCGTTAGGGTAAAGTTTTAGCTATGCTTAATAGAGATCCAAAACAAGAGTGGCTTATGCTAGAGAAAACTTTCTATCTGTCTTAACCAAGGCTGAAATGGGAGTTCTGCTCAACAAGCTGTCCAGGGACCATCTCCTTCTATCTTGTGGTTCTGCCAACATCTATCTACATGGTTCAAGAGTACTTAGGAATGTGACAATGCCCAGTTATCAGGACAGAGAAAACAGATGCATGCATTCTATTTCCCTTTAAGGGTACAACCTAGATATTGGACCTAACAGTTCCTCTCATCTCACATTGGACAGAACTCAGTTGTAATACTATACTTAGGCATAAGAAAGCAAGCTGGGGAATGTCCTATTACTATCCCAAAAGAGGAGTAAATATTGGGGGACACTATGAGTGGCTTTACATGCAAAAAGTAAAGCTGATGCCCAGAGAAGTACGCATTAGGGTCACAATTCTCCAATTAAAAAGCATATAAGAAAACTAATTTCTCTCTGGTTTATAAGTACTCTCTACTTATGAGTGACTCTTGAATTTGGGTTCAAATATTTCTAAGAGACCTGTTAGTGAATGAAGTAATTGTTATATAACATCTTAGACTCTTTTCCTGGGTATTAAATTCATTTAAATAAAGATGAGCTACAGTTCTTAATTTTATCATTTATAATTTCTTAATTATAAGGTGATGGTGTTGACGGTAAGATGTTAATGGTAGCCCTGAGTCCTATAAAAGACTTCTGGTTGCATGCCAACAACAAGGAGCACTCTGTGGAGGTAAATATACATATATGATTATGGAACTCTCATGAATGACTCTACCCATTTGTTTAGAATTGGGTGTTGGGGTATTTTGCAGAAGAAGTTTTTTTTTATCCTGTTGTACATAAAGCACAATCACTTACTACAAATGACTTGCTTCTAGGGTAAGGAAGGGAGGAAAGTGGCATGTATGGCTTTACTACTGAAAATCTGCTCTCCACCAGCAGTACAGCATCACCTGGGAGGTTGTTAGAAATACCGGATTCCAGGCCCCCCAGAAATAAATTGGATTCTGCATTTTAAGAAATCTTCAGGAAATTCATATGTGCCTTAAAGTTTGAGAAGCACTGTTATATAGAATGATCTCAAATCCTTTCTGTTTGGCTTTAGGAACTATTATGTTCCTCTAGGAAACATTTCTTTGTATAATATCGTTTTCTTAAACAAATACAAAAAAAAAATGTTCTGTTCTGAGCCTGCTTAAGAGAGGTCATAAGCATTTCCGTGTGCCAAGATTTATAAATAACCTAACATCTACATTCTGAACATAGGATTCATTGCATACTCTTCTTTAGTTAGTAAATGGCATTATTATATTGGTCATGATGTGTAATTATAACCATCTTGACAAACAAGCCAAAGGTAGAGGCATGGAAGAAAACAGAAGAGCATAATATAGAAGATAAATTATATAAATACACAAAATTATAAAGCTAACTAACACAGCCATGTAAGGCCTTATTAACGTAAATGGTGGATGGTAACCAGCATCTTCCTAACCAAAACATTCCTAAGCATATATAATCTAGTGTTTGGCATGTAAAACTACTCAATAAGAGGGCTACTTAGACTGAGCTCTATTATATAGCAAGCATTGTGCTAAATGTTTCTCAACTATTATTTTATTTAATACAGTAACTCTACAATGGAGTTGTTGTATTGCTCAAATGTTGCTGTGTAACAAATCATTCCAAAGCTTAGTGCCTCAAAATAATAATCATTTATATTTACTCATATGTCTGTAGGTATTTTGGGGATTGACTGATTTTAAAAACTGGCTAGACTTTAAAAATGAGGCTTGAGAGATAAAGCAACATGCCCAAGGTCTCAGAGATAGCATACATCAAATGAAGGGTACAAATCCAGAACTACTGCATCCAGATCCAGTCACCCCAATCCATACTGCCTCTCTATCAGCTGTCGGTGAATCAGATCAAATTCTGATTTGATCACCCCCACACCTCTACTCATTTCTCCCCTCTTCTCTCCACTACTGATTAAGCAAACTTGCTAGAAATATCAAGTCATAAATAAGTATTCCCCTTTAGTTTCCAATACAGACAGGTAAAGTTGACTCTGAACTTCCCATTCACATACGGATTGCTTTCTCTCGTTTCCTCAGCTCCATAAGTGTGAAAAACCACTGCCAGACCAAGCCTTCTTTATCCTTCATAATATGCCCTACAACTGTGTTTCATTTGAATGCAAGACTGATCCTGGAGTGTTTATAGGTGTAAAGGATAATCATCTTGCTCTGATTAAAGTAGACTGTTCTGAGAATTTGTGTAGTGAAAATATCTTGTTTAAGCTCTCTAAAAGTTAGTTGATGGAAACTTGTGGGTCTTGGCTTTGGTACCCAAATGCTACCACTGCAGAAGGGATGAAAGATAAAGAGGCAGGTGACACCTAAGGGAAATGAAGAGTGCTTAGCATGCTGTGGAATGTTTTCCTTATTATGTATAAAAATATTTTTTCTAATCCTTCTTTTTTAAATTTCCCCCTGTAAAACTGCATATTCAATACAAGTATCAGTATATTAAATAGGATATTGGTAAAGAAACTGTCAACATTCTAAAGAGATACAGTCTGAACTTTACTTTTTTTACTTTCAGTCCGGAAAGAACTTCACATTTAGAGCTAAGACCACTGAGGAGAGTAAGAGCCATAGTTCAAGTCTCTCTGTAGGCAGGGATCCATTTTAAAGACCTACTTAGAGAAATAATTTTCCCCAGTTTCAAACAGTAGGCTCAAACACTAGAGCTGCTAGTAAAAGGAAGACCAGATGCTTTATAGAATTATCATTTTTTCAACTGAAATAAAATACCCAGTTTTTTTGTAGATGTCTTAGGTAACACTCACATCAGCTCTCCTTTACTGTCAGGGGATATGGAACTTCAAAGGCCCACAGCCAAGGCAGGTAACATAAATGTGTGAAAAAGTAAAGATAATTGAAAAATTAAGAAAGATAAATCCAATATTTGTAAAGTGAATAACTTCATCTCTAATTAATTTTTTAAATTCTGATTTTTATTTATTGAGTTTACTTTAAGCAAGACATTCTTACATTAGGAAGCGAAGTAAATTTTAGTTCAGACATAAAATTTCATTTATTGGGAATACCTAACACACCAAAACTTAAAAAAAAAAAAAGTACTGAGCCACAACATGTTTTAGAGCATCCAGGTGCCATATAATCCAACTACCATGGTAAGGCCAGAAATCCTCTAACCTACCAGAGCCTAGATGAGACACTGAATTAACATTAAAATTTCAGTAACTCACTGTCCCTCATGTCCATGGCCTACCATCCCTTCTGACCCTGGCTCCCAGGGATCTATGTCTTTTAATATACTCACTGTCACATTGGGCAAAGTTGCTTCTAATCCTTGTTTCCCATGTGCACAAGTCTTTCTGTTGTCCAGCTTCCTGATAACCCTGCTATTTGTAGAATATTCATTTGACCTCTGTCTCTTTTCATTTCTTTTAACCACGTCCTTGATACATCTTTTGCACTCCCCGAACTTCATTTCTATATCACCTGACCTCTGGATGCTAAAACCTTTATTCTTCATTTGTTGCAGAATTTTAGATAAACCTATGAATGGCGATATTTTTTGTTAAACATCTTTGTCTTTTACTGTCAACAGAGCAATAAAATTTATACTCAACTATATAATAACATTTTAACTACTAAATGAATAGTTTTTGTTTATTTTAAAGTCTTAGCAATTTCTATTATAATTTTTCTTAGACTTAATACTTATGATAAATGACTAACATAGTAATAAAAAATTTATGAAATATGACCTTTTCTGAAAGTATGTACTTTTACATTTCTAACTTATTGAGACCTATTAGATGTAAGAGCTGGTAGAATATAAAAGAGACTGAGAATTACTGTACACAGGCATTACAATTGTAAAACAATATATCTTTGCTTCATTGTTTTGTCAATAATTATTAGAAAAGAGATAAAAATAAAAGCAGAATATGTATCCCTTCTGAGAAACATTATTGATATGTGCCTCTGTATGACAAACATAAAATGATTATTAAATAGCCAAATATATCTACTACATTGTTTATATTCTTGAATAAACTATATTTTCCAAAAGTATGTGAGACTATAATGATTTTATCATACGATGACTCAATATTCTGAAATTCTTAAGTGAAAGTAAGCATACTCTAATCTACCAATGTTGGTATCCGGAGTAGGTCATTACCCGGTAATTTTGGTGATTCATAACTAAGTAATAGTTTGAAGAGAAGAGATTGTGTCTTTTTCACCTTTGTATAGTCAGTGCCCATCCTAGTGGGTGTTTAGTGACTTTTACTCAGGATCAAACAACCAACATGTACCTGCATCAGAACCTTGATCTGATAATTCTGATGCCTTATTAAAATAACTTTCAACTCAGCTCATTTGTTTTGTGTTTAATTTTCCTTTTCAAAAAAATAATTTCCACCATCATTATAGTCAGTGTAATTTGATTAAAATATTCAAATGTGTGTGTGGTGGCATTTTTGTCACTTACCTGCATGTGTTTTGATGATCCAAATGCACATTACTGGAAATAATTTATTCATTTCATTGTATCAGAAAGGATAACTTTGCCAAAACTTACTTTTTCCTCATTTTATTTATATTCTTTAGGTTTTATGTATTTACTGAATATCTTGAAATATTGTCAAGAAAATTTTATTTGAATGAGTAAAATGACTGAAAATTGGGAAAAAATAAGTTAAGACTTGAGATTCAGGGGTAATTGGGAAAGAAAATTGTCAATCTAATTTAAAAACAGCAGCTTGATTTAAATCTAAAACAATTTATTCATAATCTCTACTCTTGCAGAACAAAATAAGCCAAAACATAATTTCAATCTTTGTGCCTTGTGCTGAGAAATTTCATGATGGATGGACATCTTCAGCTGCAATCCCATTACTGGGTATATACTCAGAGGAATAGGAATACAAATTATTCTACCATGAACATACATGCATACAAATGCTCATTACAGTACTATTCACAATAGCAAAGACATGAAATCAACCTAAATGTCCATCAGAGACAGACTGGATAAAGAAAATGTGGTACTTATATACACTAGAACACTATGCGGTCATAAAAAAGAACGAGATCATGTCTTTTGTAGGAATATGGATGGAGCTGGAGGTCATTATGAACTTATGAATAAAAAGAAGGAAACAACAGACACTGGGGTCTACCTGAGGGTGGAGGGTGGGAGGAAGAAGTTGAACAGAAAAGATAACTACTGGGTACTGAGCTTAATTCCTGGGTGATGAAATAACCAGTACAACAAACTCCCATAACATGAGTTTACCTATGTAACAAACCTTTACATATACCCTCAAAACTAAAACAAAAGTTACAAAATAAATTAATTTAAAAAAAAAAGAAATCTTCAACTGCTGTACTCCAGTGGGGGTTGGAGTAGTAGGCTTGTCCCAAAACTCCTTCTCCCTTCAAGTATAAGCCTATACAGCCCTGAAATTTCATCTTCTAGCAGGCATACATCAGATAGGTGCCATACGTATGGGACTTTGCTAGGCACCATGACAGCACAAAAGAAACCTAAGCCATCCTCCTTGTTCACATGGAAATTAAAACATGTACCATATGTATTATAACTCCAACTCTGCAGTACAGTTATACAAAGGTGAGAAAGATTAGTGTGGGTTTGTCATCAGGGAAAGAAATAAAACTGAATTTTGCCTATCCCCATGCTCTAACACCCACTCTGATCTATTCTTATATCCATTCTCAATGACATGTTATGCAGGTTCTTCATGAAGGTCTTAAGTAAAAGGGGTAAATTCAGTTGTTTTAACCCCTTTAGTGGTCAGGATTGGGTATAAAGACTTAGGAATCTGAGAAAATAAATCAAAAAAAGAAAGTGAATGCAAGTTGGTAGAGAGAGAATCAATGAATTATTTCCTGCTGAAGTGCCAAGATGACTGTGATGGTTAATATTAGGTGTCGACTTGACTGGATTGAGGTATGCCTAGATGGCTGATAAAGCGTTGTTTCTGGGTATGTCTGTGAGAGTGTTGCCAAAGGAGACTGACATGTTTGTTTTTGAGACAGGTTCTCACTCTGTCACCTAGGCTGGAGTACATTTGAGCAATCTTGACTCACTGCAACCTCAGCCTCCCAGGTTCAAGTGATACTTCCATCTCAGCCTCCCAGGTAGCTGGAACTACAGGCGCATGCCACCACATCCACCTAATATTTGTAATTTTTTGTAGACCCAGGGTTTCACTATGTTGCCCAGGCTGGTCTCAAACTCCTGGGCTCAAGTGATTCACCTGCCTTGGCCTCCAAAAATGCTGAGATTACAGGCTGAGGCACCATGGCCTGCCAAGAATGACTTTTGAGTCAATGGACTGGGAAAGGAAGAACCACCCTCAGTGTGGGTGGGCACCATTCAATCAACTACCAGCACAACTAGAACAAAGTAGAAGGAAGGAAGAGTGATAAACTTGCTTGCTTAGTCTTCTCACTCTCTCTTCCCTTTGCAGGCACCTGCTTCCTCTCCTCTTGTCCTTGGACATCAGACTCTAAGTTCTTCAGCTTTTGGACTCTGAGACTTGCACCAGTGGCCTCCCAGGGGGTCTTGGGCCTTTGGCCTCAGACTGAGGGCCATACTGTCAGCCTCCCTGGATTTGAGTTTTCAGACTTGGACTGAGCCACTCTACCAGCTTCTCTTTTACCCCAACTTGTAGATGACCTATTTGGGGACTTCACCTTGTAATCATGTGAGCCAATTCTCCTTAATAAACTCACGTGTGTGTGTGTGTGTGTGTGTGTGTGTGTGTGTGTGTAACCTGGTTCTCTCCTCTGGAGAACCCTGACTAATACAAAGATGAAACACTTGTTCAAGTTTAATTACAATCCCTAGCACAGAGGATGCTCCCACAAAGAGATTGTGTGAATCAGTGTCCAGTATATTAAGAACAGGGTTGGTTTGCTACTCTATAGGCTGTGCAACTTTGGCAAGGTAAGTAACCTCTCTCAATATCTATTTCTCCTCTGTAAATAGGCAGTACCAAATACTGTAATTTTCTACCTAATATCCACAACCACCACCCTACTGCTTACCAACAGACCCTCATATTTTTACCAGACAACAGTGCACACAACTAAAAATACACTCTTTCCCAGATTTCCACACAGCTAGATGGGATAACCAGTCGGCATAGTTCTGGTAAATAAAATGTAAGCAGAATAATTGTTTAAGAAAAACTTATTTTAAGAAGGCATATTTGACTGGCATGCCATTTTTCAGTCTTTTACCTCTTCTTCTCTTCCTACCTGAGCCATAGATAGGACATTGAATGCAGAGTAGCCAACTTCTGACCATAAGGTGATGAGCATGGGGAACAAAGGCCTACACATTAAAAACAGCAGCAGGGGCCAGGTTAGGGTCACACCTGTAATCCCAACATTTTGGGAGGCTGAGGCAGGCAGATCACTAGAGGTTAGGAGTTAAAGACCGGCCTGGCTAACATGGTGAAACCCCATCTCTACTAAAAATATAAAATTAGCCAAATGTGGTGGTGCATGTCTGTAATCCCAGCTACAAGGGAGGCTGAGGCAGGAAAATCACTTGAACCTGGGAGGCGGAGGTTGTAGTAAGCTGAGATCGCGCCACTGCACTCTAGCCTGGGCGACAAAGCAAGACTCTATATCCAAAAAAAAAAAAAAAAAATGGCAGGAGGGAAAGATGAAAGAATCTTGGTATGGCAGACAATATTGGTGCTCTCCCAAATTCCCTTGGATTGCTTTATATTGGATTATTTTATATCATTTCCACATGTGCCACACGTCCATAACACCACCATCTTCCATATTCTTTCAATATCCAGCACTGGCAGCTCTTGCAAGGATTGCCTTTGTGGTACTGATGCTGCTTTGCCCCCATGCACAGAGAAATGAAAATGTCTATGAGTTTGTATTACTCCCACCAGCCTCACAAGGCTTTTGAAAGCCCAACTCCTCAGTTCTTGGGTAGAATACCTCTGTCTTAATTTCACTCAAAAATTATGGCATGGAGCTCATGCTGAATCTGCCCTGTGCAGCACTTTAACATGAGATCACATTCTTACTTAGATTCCTGTTCTTCCCTGCCTGACTTGCCCTGCCCTGCCCTGACTGCCTTATCAGAATTTCTTGGAAACATTTCCTTAGTAAATCACATTATCATAATCCTTAACTCAGGATCTGCTCCTGGAGAACCTAATGTAAGATACCAGGTCACATGTGACATTGGAGAGCTGCCATATCAATCTTGTAGTACTATCTCCAAACTTGTTGTTGAGAGAAAAAAATAAACCCATGTCTGCTTAAGCTACTGTTGGGTTTTCTGTTGAATGTGACTTAAAGCAAATTTAACCCATAGAAGAGATGATGGTAACACCTGCTTTTTTTTTTTTTTGAGACCGAGTCTTGCCTTGTCACCCAGGCTGGAGCGCAGTGGTGGGATCTCAGCTTACCTCCTGGCTTCAAGTGTTTCTCCTGCCTCAGCCTCCTAAGTAGCTGGGATTATAGACTCAGCCACCACGCCAGCTAATTTTTGTATTTTTAGTAGAAACAGGGTTTGCATCACCATGTTGGCCAGGCTGGTCTTGAACTCCTGACCTCGGGTGATCCACTCGCCTGGGCCTCCCAAAGTGCTGGAATTACAGGCATCAGCCACTGAGCCCAGCCCACATCTGCTTCTTAGGACACTGATAAGAATTTCCTGGCACATAGCAAGCACTCAGTGAAAGTAGCTTAGAAAAACAAACAAACCTGATTGATAAGGAGAACAGTTTTTCTTAGGTACAATTAAAATACAGAAAGATAATCAAATGACTCCAAAACTTTAAAAGAATTTATTTTCTGAGAGATAAAGTAGGGGGCAAAAATCAGAAAGATTAAATCTGGCAGGTATTAATCTATAAAACAAATAGGCATTTACTTATACTTCTTAACATATAAATAGGTTACATAAATTATTTCACATTCATCTTAGTTCATTCAGGCCACGATGACAAAATTAACTGGATAGCTTATAAACAACAGAAACTTATTTCTCACAGTCCTGGAGGCTGGGAAACCCAAGATCAAAGCACTGGCAGATTCACTGAGGACCTTTTTCCCAGATAGCATCTTTTGGTTATAATCTCACATGGCCAGAGTAGCTACCTACCTCTCTGGAGTCTCTTTTATAAGGGCACAAATATTACATTATAAATATAAAAACATTTAATAATAAAAATGAAAGAAAGACTGATAATAAATTATTTTATAAATTTATATAAATTTATTTATAAATTATAATATTAATTTATATAAATAAATTTATATTATAATTTATATATATAATTTATAAAAATTATATTATAAATATTAAT